GGCTCGCGGGGCCTGGGGCTGGGAGGAAGCGCAGAATCCCCCTAAGAGGCTGCGGGGCGGCAAGGTCGAGGTTCAGGAGCAGCCGCGAAAGCTGCCCAAACGCAAGATCGTGTTGCTCATGGCCTACTCAGGGAAGGGCTACCACGGCATGCAGAGGAATGTGGGGTCCTCACAGTTCAAGACAATCGAAGATGACTTGGTATCTGCCCTGGTCCGGGCAGGCTGCATCCCTGAGAATCATGGCGAGGACATGAGGAAGATGTCCTTCCAGCGCTGCGTCCGCACAGACAGGGGTGTGTCTGCAGCAGGCCAGGTCGTGTCCCTGAAGGTGTGGCTGATTGAGGAACTTCTGGACAAGATCAACAGCCACCTTCCCTCCCACATCCAGATCCTGGTGTTGAAGAGGGTCACAAGCGGCTTCAACTCCAAGATCAAATGTGATGCCAGGACCTACTTCTACATGCTGCCCACCTTCGCCTTTGCGTACAAGGACCAGGACGTGCAGGATGAGACGTACCGCCTGAGCGCCGAGACACTGCAGCAGGTCAACCGGCTGCTGGCCTGCTACAAGGGCACCCACAACTTCCACAACTTCACCTCACAGAAGGGGCCGCATGAGCCCAGCGCACGGTGCTATGTGCTGGAGATGTACTGTGAGCCACCCTTTGAGCGCGAGGGCCTGGAGTTTGCTGTGATCAAGGCCCCTAGCCCAGTGGATGGCAGCGACAGGGACACAGACTGAGCCATGGGGCTGCACACGCCTCTTAACCCCAGAGCCAAGGACTCTGGGCCTGCCTGTCGGCCGGCTGCACTACCTCAGGACCGCGCCATCACAGCACACCTTGCCTTACTGTTGGTGCATCTGTGCGTGCCCCTTGGTAGGTACGCACTATTTTTTTAAAGAGATTTTTTTTGTTTTGTTTTTTTGAGACAGGGTCTCACTGTTTAGCTCAGGCTGGCCTTGAACTTGTGGCAATCCTCTTGCCTCAGCCTCCTGAGTGCCGAGATTTTCTTATTAAATAAATATGTTTACCTAGCCAAAAAAAAAATGGTAAAGAGAGAAGAGGTGAAGAATAAGTTTATATATGGCTGAGATACTTTAATTATTTGACCTAGAATTTTAAAATAATTATGATTAATATAGTAAATTCCTTAATGGAAAAATTGGACATGTAAAAATAGATGGATGATGTAAGCAGAGATGGGAACCTGTAAGAGAATCAGAAGAAAATTCCAGAAATAAAAAATAAAACACTACAACAAAAATGAAGACTGGGGACTGGGGCGGGGATTTAGCTCAGCAGTTCAGTGGCCTGCCTTGCAAGCGCAAGGACCCGAGTTCAATCCCCGGTACCAAAAATAAAAAATGAAACTGACAATAGACTGATCAAGTAATCTTGAAGAAATGTCCATAGAAACTTCCAGAACAATGCATTCCAAAAGGAGAGCAATAGATGAGGTGGGTTCACTGGTGAAATTTCTAGTAATTTATGATAAAAAGGTGCTAAAAAATACCAACAGCGTTTCTCACAGAACTAGAAAAGGCAATCCTAAAATTGTCATGGAACAAGAAAAGACCCAGAGTAACAAGAGCAATCCTGGGTAACAAAAGCAAAGTGTGAGGCATCATCATCCCAATTTCCAGTTATATTACAATGTTACAGTGATAAAAACAGCATGGTATGGGGACAAAAACAGACATATGTATCAATGAAACAGGATAAAGGACACACAACCCCAGACATATCAGCCACTTAATCTTTGACAAACATGCTGAAAACATATGCTGGAGAAAAAATAACTTTACAAAAAGAGGCGCTTAAAAAACTGGCTATCTACATGTAGATGATTGAAGCTAGACCCATATATATATCACTATGTACTAAATGAAAATCAAAATGGTTCAAAGATGAAAATATTAAACCAGAAACAACCAGATGGAAGATAAACAGAAACTCTTGAAATAAGAGGCATAAGGAAAGTCTTCCTGAACAGAACCTCAATTGCAGCAGAAATAAATCATAAATAAATAAATGGGATTATATCAAATAAAAAGCTTCTCTAAAACAATAAAACAGCCAACAGAATGAAGAGACAACCTAAAGAATGGGGGAAACTTGGAAATAGGATTAATACATAGAATATACAAAGAATGCAAAAAAAAATTAGACCCCCCAAAATAAAATATCCGATCCAAAAATAGGCAACCTAAATGAATAGTCACTTCTCGGAGGAAATGCAAGTAGCCAATAAATATAGAAAAAAAGTGTTCAAGCTGGGCATGGTGGCGCACATCTGTAATCCCAGCATTCTGGAGGCTGAGGCAGGAGAATTGCTGTGAGTTCAAGACCAGCCTGGGCTACATAATCAGTTCCAGGTCAGTCTCAATTACATAGTGAGACCCTGTCTCAAAATAAATAAATAAATAAAAGAAATGTTCTCTGCTTAATGTGGTATTATAGTTACATGGTATTACAGCTAATAATGTGACATGCACCTTCCTTGGATGGCATTTTATGTTTGAATTACTTTGATTTTTTCAACCAGGTTGTAAGAGTCCTAGACAAACAGTAAATCAC